ACAGCTTGGGCTGGGAGTGTGGCTCAGCAGTAGAGCGCTCCCCTAGCACAGGTGGGACCCAGGTTCGATCCTCAGCACCACATAAAAATAAAGGCATTGTGTTGTGTCCATCTACACCTAAAAAATAAATATTAAAAAAAATCAATAGCTAATCTTTACTAAAGAGCAGTGCAAAGGAATTTTGAGTCAGGGGCATCTCCTCATTTTTCTTTTAAATCTAAAGGAATATAACCTTATAGAGTTGTGATAGAAATACACAGAGAATGAAATAGAAGAGATAGAAAGGAATTATACCCTACTGTGTGCGTATGTGTGTATGTAGGTATATATGATATGTATGTAAGATATGCATGTATGTATGATATGATATGTATTATATCTATAACAATTTTTGTATATACATATATAACAATTTTTGTATATATATAACAATATATATATACAAAAATTGTTAAGAAGGGATTGTGTTTCTAATAATTAGTGCTGGCTACCCAGCCTACCAACTATCAGAATGATTATCACATACAGAATGCAAAACATTAGAAGAAAATCAAAATAAATATATATATAAGGAAATGCTTTCTAAGTTTTGAAAAAAAAAGGGACATAAAAGATAGCCCAAAATTGTCAAATTAAAAAAAAATCTTTTGTAAGTAAAAATAGCATAATTTAAAAATAAAAAAGATAGGTCAAACAGGAAAAATATTTCCAACAAATACTAAATAAAGTATTAACATTATTACATTTACAACTTTTTATGGGAAGATCAAGAATAAAATTTGCTTACCATCCTTTCCTTGATTTGACTGAAAAAAAAAAAAAAGAAGAAACTCACAACAATGAAAAGAACAGTAAGAGGCACTGAAGAGTGGACTGAACCAGTTTAAATGAGGACCTTCCAAAATATACAATATTTGACTACGAGGAGTTTGAGAAAAGCAGAATGAAAAAGATGAAAGTGAATAATCAGAGAGCTGAAAAACTCTATCACTTTTGAGAGTAGACTCCATGAGGAGTGATAAAAACCTTTCCTTTATCAGGAAATGAAATTTCAGGACCTCAGGGAATACGAAAAATCATCACATTTTGTAGAAAGAAAGGAAAAAGTCAGTTTCCTGAAGGAGGCACGAGAATCATTCTGGCAATAGTCTTCATCAGTACACTGACTATTAGAAAACAAAAGGGTAATTTAAGAAGTGGAGACTCAGGGTGACAAACAAACTAGATGTCTTACTCAGAAAATATACCAAATGAATTGCAGGTCAGAATAAATACATCTTCAGAATTTCAGGTCACAGCATCAAGTTTTTGAATTATTTAAAATTTTTTCAGTCGTTTCGCTTGGGCTGTTCATTTTACAACACGTGGAGGGGAAGTTCTCATTTTTTGCAGTATTGCAGAGACTCAGTTTTGTACCTTCAAATATGGAGGATAGATGAATAAACACTCCCTAGATTTTTTTTTTTTTGATTCTGCCACTGAACACTGTTGTCCAGGAGTTGAATCAGAAAGTAATGATGTAAGGAGAGGCAGAAATAATTCACTAGGGTAGCTGCAATAAAGTCTGGTGGTGACAAAAAGTTTGCTCTCCTTTTAAAAACTAGTGACCATTCTTCCTGCTTAAGTTGGCTTGCCTCCTGAACCTTGTTCTATATTCTTCCCAAATTTGTAAGCTATCTAAGCTCCTTCTAATAGATTCTCTTCCTGCTACATAGAGATATTCAGTTTTTTTCTGCCCACAACCAAGAATCCTAGCTTATTCTATAACTAAATCGGATTCCAGGTAACAACTTCAAGAGGGAAACAAACCTTCTGCTGGGAAATCGGCCTTCATGGAGCTGAAGGCAAAGATCTGATTTCCATACTGCCTACTTGCTACTACCTTTTAAAGGAAGGTTTTAGTGGAATTCATTGGCTCTGCATATAAACATGATGAGGGGCATGAAGAATTCTAAGACTACTAAATAGTGTGGTTTCTTCAAACGGCCTCACATATGTTAAAAGCAAGGCTTATCTTGATCAAATCCCTAAGTTCTGAGTCAGACAAAAATAAAACCTAAGGAATGTCTATAACATTGCTAAAATCATCTCATATCTCTTAAAGCCATAGAGTGAGCTGTCACAGAGCAAGATCAAATTTGAGATTTGACCATGAAGATTGCTAATATACAATGCCAATTAAATTTACCACCTAATCATGTCTTGATAAGGTACATGAACCACAGAAATGGAACTCATTTTTCACTTTGGAAAGGATAAATGAAGCTCTAGCTGCTTTCTTTATTGGTAAACAAAAATCATAGATTCATAGATTCCCAGTGGTAGTCATCACTAAACAAAGTTTAGATGCCAGAAATTCCTTGCTATAATACAGAAGAAAGAATTCAGACACAGAGATATAGAAGTGCCGCAGTGCATTTATGAGAAGTGCATCATGCCTCTCTAAGTAACACTATGTCCCCAGAAAGATCCCAGAAAGCACTCCTTTCTGGTTTTTGATTGTTTTTCTTTAGGTTTGAACCATTCTGTGGTGAGAAGAGCATGAACACATGAAAAATGAAGAAACAACAAGGTATAGTGGTGCACACTTGTGATCCCAGAAACTTGAGAGGCTGAGGCAGGAGGATCACAAGTTTGAGGCCAGTATCAGTGACTTAGTGGGAACCTCTCTCAAAATAACAAAATAAAAAGGGCTCAAAGGTAGAGTGCCCCTGGGCTCAATCCCCAAAACAGGAGGAAAGGAAAACAAAAGAATGAAGAAACAGTAAATATGTGAGTAAACATAAAATGTTTTCATGTATCTTAGTTTTCAAGTGATAACTTAATGTTTAAATAAAAATAATAACAATGTACTGAGTGCTTTATAACTTATGTAGAAGACAAATATATAACAAGAATAACACAAAGGACAGTAGGAAATAAATGGAATCACACACTGGGTCAGGAACTGTGAAGGGTATGAGATTCTAACCCATGGAAAGCTAATAAAGTAGCATATTACATGAATGTTGGTAGAAGGCATGAAACTCCTAGATAAAAGTCTTCATTCATCAGAGGATGAACAAAACAAAGAAGTCCAGACAGATGCTGTTCAGTGAGCTGATTGGTGACACAGTTGTGTCAGAGAACTGGAGGGTATCTGATGTTTTATGCCGCAGTCCGGCTGCAGCAAAATAACCGGGGGGGTGGGGGTGGTGACGAGCAACTTGTGTAGATTGATACAGCAGGAGTGGAAGCCGTTTATTGTAGGACCCGAGCGATATTTATACATTCCACACAGCTTATCTTAATTAGCATAAACTAGATACAGCAGTCAACCAATAAGGAATCTCCACACTTAATGGCTCGCTGGCTTTACTTCGCAAACCACTCCCCCTGGCAAAATGCCAGGCACCATCCTGACTTGTTTACAGACTCTAACAGTTTTATAGCATTCAGAAGCAAGCCTACTCATTCTTGGGAGGAAAGGAAAATATTCTTATCCCTCAATGTTGCTTACTGCAAATATGACCCTAAAAAATGGCCCAGAGGGCTGGGGATGTGGCTCAAGCTGTAGCACGCTCGCCTGGCATGCGCGGGTCACTGGGTTCGATCCTCAGCACCACATACAAAATAAAATAAAGATGTTGTGTCCACGGAAAACTAAAAAATAAACATTAAAAAATTCTCTCTCTTTCTCTTTAAAAAAAATGGCCCAGAAAGAGCATACAGGGGTTAAATCCTTACATTCTTGCATACTTAGCAAAAATGTGCAGGACACCTTTGGCAAACTGCCATTTGCAACAAACTATTATGGTCTGAATGTTTGTGTCCCTCCAAAATTCATGGCAAAAGTTAGTTCCCATTATGGTATTGAGAGGTGGGACCTTTGGGAAGAGATTAAGTCATGAGGACTCCACCTTTATGTAAAGGATTAATACCCTTATAAAGGAGGCTTTGGAGAACTGTCTGACCCTTCCAGCTCTTCTGCCATGCAATGACACGTGGTCCTTGCTCTTTCTGCCATGAAAGGACAAAGCAAGAGGTGCCATCTATGAAGCGGGAAACATGTGTTCAGGAGATACCAAATCTGCTGAGTCTTCATCTTGGACTTTCCAGTTTGCACAACTGTAATATATAAATATATATATTTCCACTGAGCCAAATCCTCAGCCTTTTTTCTGTGATTTTTTTTTTTTTTAATTTTGAGGCAGAGTCTTGCAAAGTTGTTAAGGCTGGCTTTGAACTTACAACCCTCCTGCCTCAGCTTCCCAAGCTGCTGGGATTCCAGGTGTGCACCACTGCACCTGGCTGATATGTAAATGTTTTGTTGTTTATAAATCATAGTCTCTATTATTTTTTATAGTAGCCTGAACTGACAAAGACACATTTGTAAGATTCTTATGTTTTATATAAAGTAAAACAAATTATATAAAGTTAGATTATAAGTTAAAGATGCATTTTGTAAAATCTATAGTAATGATCCAAAATAAATATAAAAAGTTATAACACTGGCTAATAAGTTACTATATAAGTGAAACATAATACTAAAATATATTAAAGTAATTTGAGAAAAACAAAAGTAGTAATAAAATAAAGAAATGAAATGAAAATAAAATATACAATATATTTGAAACATAAACCTTACTATGTCAATAGTTATAGTAAATGCTTATAGAAAATGAAAATGTATTAATCACTTCAATTAAAAACAGTGACTGGTTTAAAAAGAAAAACAAGAACTAGTTATATGCTATGTATATAAAATAAATATTATACATAAATATCCAAATAGTTTAAAAATTGCAGATTGGAAAAAGATATATGACATATAAATTAATCTTAATAATGTCAAAGTGGCTTTATTAATGCTAGACAAAGTTGACTCCCAGACAAGAATAACCACCAGACATAAAGAAGTTATTTAATCTGATTATACAAAATACAGAAAATAAAGAAAAACCATCAGACTGGAAGGAAGAAATGAAGCTTTCCTTTGCTATTGGTCATGTGGTTGTAAAGGTAAAAAAAAATCATATCTACAAAAAACTACTACAACTATTAAATTAAAACAGGAAGTTTGCAGGATCCGTATTTCCTTATTTTAAGATCTGAGGGTTCCACCAGAGAAACAGCAGCAGTAGGATACACGTAAATAAATTTATTGCAAGGAACTGGCTTACATGATAGTTCGGGCTGGGTATTAAGTCCAAAAATCTATTTGGTAGGCTGTCAGGAAGGCAGGCTGGAAACTCAGGCAGAAGCTGAAGCTGCAGTCCACAGGAGGAATTTCTTCTTCCTCAGAGAACCTCAGTTCTACTCTTCAAACTCACACAGATTAGCAAGGATAATCTTCTTTACTGAAAACTGATAGAATAGGATGTTGAATCTACAAAGTACCTCCACAGCAACACCTAGGTTAGTGATTGATTTAATAAAAAATCATAGCCAAATTAACATACAAAATTGACCATAATCTTAAACAACAAATACTGGAAAATAAAATTTAAAATACTATCTTCAATAGCATTGAAAATCATAAAATACTTAAGGTAAAATTAACAAAATTACATTCAGGAGCTCTATAATGAAAATTATATGGTTAAGAAAATTAAAGAAGACTTAAATATATAAACATTCTATGTCCATGGTTTGATGACTCAAAGACTGAATACTAACACAATGTTCATTCCTCTAATCTTGATTTACAAATTTCCTGCAATCTCAGTCAAAATTGCAGGATACCTTCATAAAAAACTTGATAAACTGATTCTAAACTGTATATAAAATGTAAAAGACCTAGAGTAGCCAAGAGAGTTTTGAAAGAACAAAGTTAGAAAACACAAATTCTTTCAAGACATAGTATCAGGTTACAGTAATCAAGACAATGTGGTACTGACCTCTGACAAAGGTGTCAAAGCCATTGAGTGGGGATAGGAAAGTCTTACCAAGAAACAGTGCTGGAGCTGAATGTGTGTGTGCGTGCGTGTGTGTGTGTGTGTGTGTGTCTGTCTATATATATACACACACACATATACATATACATACATACTCATTCCTTATAGTCTAAATAAAATTAATTAATAGGCATAATTATAAAAGAAAAAATCTTCAGGAAGAAAATATGGGTTAGCTGGTAAGTTTTTAGCTAAGATTCACTATCTACAAAATAACAAAGAAAAGATAAATGTATACCTCATCAAAAGTTAAGTTTTCTACCCATCCAAAGACACCATTGAGAAAACATATGGCAGTTGCATTCGGGGGAAAAATATTTACAATACCTATATATAATAAAGGACTTGTGTCCAGAATAATAATTTAATAATAATAATAAATAATAATAATAATAACAATTTCTACAATTGAATAATAAAAACAACCCACTAAAAAAATCAGCTAATTGGCCAGTGTGATGGATGGCATATGCCTATAATTCCAGTGACTTGGGAGGCTGAGACAGGAGAATCATAAGTTCAAGGCCAGTTTTAGCAATTTAGTGAGGCCCTGTCTCAAAATTAAAAACAAAATAAATCAGCTTAAAAAAATATCCTGAAATGGCATTTCATGAAGAGAGTTATAGAAATAGTTAATGATCATGTAAAAAAAAAAGTGTTTAACATCAATTATTTGTCATCAGAGAACCACACGAGAACCACAATAGCATATACCACATAATCCTTAAGATGGTAAAGATGATAAAGACTACCAAATGTTGTTGAGGATATGTAACAATCAAAACTCTCACACATTGCTGGGGTTAATATTAAATGATACAATCAGTTTGGAAATTTAAAGAAAAGTACACCTCATTTATGTCCCCAAATTCCACCTTTAGGTATTTCCTCAAGAGAAATGAAACTATAAGTATGTAGAAACATGTGTATAAGAGTGTTCATAGTTTTATTCAAAGCAGCTCTAAGCTAGAAGCAACATAAATGTTTATCACCAAGAGAATGGATAAATAAATTATAGATAAGAAATGCTACAACTGTACCCCATAAATATGTATAATTACTATGTGTCAAATTAAAATATATATTAATAACAAACAAATAAGGGAAGACATATAAAATTACCATGTGTCAGTTAGAATATAGATTAGTAGAAACAGATAATGAGATACTTCACAGCAATGAAAAGCAATAGACAAGGCTAGAGTTGTAGCTCAGTGGTAGAGCACTTGCCTTGCAAGTGTGAGGCACTGAGTTCAATGCTAGCATAGAACAAATAAAAACAAATAAAGGTATTGAGTCAATCTATAACTTAAAAAATTAAAAATAAAATAAAACAAAGAAAAAGTAATAGACTGTTTATACATACTACATTATAAATGAAGTGCAAAAATTGTATGCCAAGTGAAAGAAGCTAGAAGAGTACACACTGTATGATTCAATTTGTATGAAGTCTACAGTAGACACACTAATTTATAGTGAAATAAAATCATGGTGATTTCCTCTGAGATGGGGGTAGGATTAACTGGGAATTGTATAACGGATCTTTCTCTGGTGATGAGAATGTTCTATATTTAAAATAAGGGTTTATGGGGGGTCTGTGAAATTGTCACAACTCATCAAACTACACATTTCATCTGTGTGCATTTTACAGTATGTAAATTTTTCCTCCATTTACAAAGAAAAAGAAAAAAAAATCTCTGGGGAGTAATGTTTGCATTAAGCCACCCTGGAGCTGAGCTCAGTTGTTTCTTAACACAATATTTTTGCATGATTTGATTTGTGACCATTTGTTTATATTACTTTGATTAAATTTATTTAAAGTGCTCATATAGACTTCCAAGTTAAGATGGTAGAACAAAAACATCTGAAACTCTCCCTTTCCCCAAACCTAATGATTGAATAACAAATAAGACCAGAGCAGTCAAAATACCTTAGACTCAAACAAAGGGAAAGGCAGAAATTTATGCCATACAATTAAAATATGCAACTTAAAGTGAGAGAAAGATTTCCTTGAATCCATTCATCTTGACTTCATTGCAGTAAAATATAATTTCTAATTCAAACCTCCTAATGCACATATATAGTGTGCAAAAATCTGAGTAAAAAGTTTTAAAAATATATATTTTGTAACTGAGGATTGAACCCATGGGCACTTGACTCGCTAAGCCACACCCCCAGCCCTTTTTGTATTTTATTTTGAGACAGGGTCTCACTAAGTTACTTAGGGCCTGGCTAAGTTGCTAAGGCTAGCTATGAACTTGCAGTCCTCCTGTCTCAGCTTCCTAAGCTACTGGGATTACAGATGTGTGCCACTGCGCCTGGGAAAAAGTTTTTAAAATGTTTATTAAGACCTTCAAATGTGGCAAAGGGTGAGTCAACTCTTGATATTTGCACCTGCACAAGGAAAAGTATGGAGAAGTTTAATTTAAATGTCCTTGTGCCAGTAGGAAGCTAAGAAGAAGAGCATCAGCCACTATTAGCTTATAATAATCTGGGAAATGTTCTCTTTTAGCTGGGAACATTATTGTACTGAATAAAATGAACGGTCAGAACGTAAGTAAATTGGGAAGAATGGATATTGAGTAAGCTAATAGTGACATATGCTACAGATGACAAAGCTTAACGAGAAGAAAAATAACTGAACAGAAGAAATTGTCCTAGGAATTTTTTTATGTTATAGAGAATATATGTGAGAATACATGTGAAACTAATAGAGACAAAGAATATTTTTAAAAAAATAGAGATGATAAACAACAGAGTTAAATGAAAACTTCAGACCTAAGAACTTCAGATATAAATTAAGAATTGAAATCAAACCAAACAAACATTGACTACATTTAAGAAGTAGAGAATTAGTTGAGAATCAAATTATTGACAAAGAAAAGAAAGTATAAGATAACCACAACAAAGGCAGAGGGGAACTAAAACAAGCAAGCGGGTAGCAGATGATAGACCAAACCAAAGACAAATTGTTTTGAAAATAAGGAACCCAAAACACAGAATTGTGAAAGATATTCATAGGTAGAACAACAACAACAAAAAAACCAAACTATTTTTTCTTGTAAACAGTATGAACTGAGGGGCTGGGGATGTTGCTCAAACGGTGGTAGCATGCTTGCCTGGCATGCTCGGGGCGCTGGGTTTGATCCTCAGCACCACATACAAATAAAAATGTTGTGTCCGCTGAAAACTAAAAAATAAATATTAAAAAATTTCTCTCTCTCTCTCTCTCTCTCTCTCTCTCTCTCTCTCTCTTTAAAAAAAAAGTAAGAACTGAATCTGTATGGAGATCAAACATTCTAATATATTCCAGGCATAAAATCATAATTGATGATATACACTGAAACATGTCTTAGGTAAGTTCATAAAACTTCAAAATCAGCAGACGCTGGGGCTGGGGATGTGGCTCAAGTGGTAGCGCGCTCCTCTGGCATGCGTGCGGCCCGGGTTCTATCCTCAGCACCACATACCAACAAAGATGTTGTGTCTGCCGATAACTAAATAAATAACTAAATAAATAACTAAATAAATAACTAAAACAAAATCAGCAGACGCATTTCCCAGGGGAAAAAATCAGGTTGAATGTGGCAGGGTGGTGGGAGAAGCAAATCAGGAACCCAAATCAGGTTGGCCCCATACTGACCCACACCATGCTCAGTGCCATTAGGAAGGTGGTAATACTCTTGAGAGAACCAAGGAAAGGCACAGTAATATTACTCTTTACACCCAGCTCAGCAATAATTCAGCAATTATATAAAGTCAATAGGCACACATTTTTTTAAGCAAAGGCATTCTCAAACAACAAGCATTTAAAATAATCTTTAAGTTAGAATCAGATCATGAATATATAACAATTAATCATTCTTGGGGGTAGGAGGAAGGGAAGCAATGATAATATCAAAATATTTTCCCAAGTAAGAAATGAAAGGAGAAAGCATAGAAACATGGGATTAATTTAAAGATATAAAGAGGGGCTGGAGTGTAGCTCAGTGGTAGAGAGAGATCATGGCTTTGTATGCATGCAGCATTGGGTTTGAGCCACTATACTGAAAAAATAAATATATATACACATATGTATATATGCACACACATATATAGACAATGAATAAACTGTTATTGAATGTACAATTAGAGAAAGGAAATGTTGCATAGGTAATTTTTTTTTAGTTGTCAATGAACCTTTATTTTATTCATTGATATGTGATGCCAGGGATCAAATCTGGTGCCTCCCACATGCTACACAAGCATTTGGCCACTGAGCCACCACCCAAGCCCAGTAAATTATAACTTGTTAAAATAATAAGGAAAGAAACCAAAATTTGGGAGAATTCACTTTGTGTTTCTTTAACAAATCAATAGCCATTTAAAGATAAGTAAATTGACAAATGAAAATCTAAAGTGCATTGTGTT